TCTCCTCTAGTTGTCCAATCTCCTCTAGTTGTCCAATCTCCTCTAGTTGTCCAATCTCCTCTAGTTGTCCAATCTCCTCTAGTTGTTCAGTCTCCTCTAGTTGTCCAATCTCATCTGGTTGTCCAATCTCCTCTAGTTGTCCAGTCTTCCTGGTTTTTCTCTCGTTCCTGGTCTTTGTGATGTCTCGGCTCATGTTTTCTGCTCCTGACTGCCTCTCCTTCCTCCTCGCACATTCTCTCCTCACATTTTAAACCTTTTCCTGACAGATTGGTTTACTCCTCTCCTTTTCACTCTTTTATTTTGTCAATTTGTCAAACTTCCTGCAGCCTTTTATTTTTTACTCCTTTTTGTTGCCACCCCTTGTCATTTTTCTACCTCAGCTACCTTTTAGTTGTTGTTTTTTTAAATTTTAATAAAACTCTTACTTAATTTCATCCTCACGTTGTCACAATAAACACTTTTATTTAACCCTTAGAAGATCTTATTGGGGAAAATCGCCCACGCATATATTTTTTATTTATTTATTTATGGTGCAGTTAATAAGCACATAATTTGACAAAGCCTAAAAATCTTTAAAATTTTTATTTTATTTTTAATCTTTTTCAAAATCTCGTGTAACTTCATGATAAAATTATCATCTTTTAGTGTTCCTTTGGGGGAAAATCAATCATAAACTCATTTTTGAATCCCGTATTTATCATGTCATAAAATAATGCATCAGTAATGTTTTTATTTACCTCTATCCCTAAACTTTCAGTTTTTACTCTAGCCCACTTGGTGGCGCTTTGTTTGACATGCGAAGTGGACATTTAGTACAAAAACGCTGTTCCATGCATGCAGGCTGAAGAATCAGCTGCACCGCTCAGAACAGCAGGACGCCACTAACGGATGCTGCATTCATTCATCCATCCATTCATTCATTCATTCATTCATTCATTCATTCATTCATTCTTCAAAAACTGCCATAAACAACTATTTTTGTAGATTTATTAAAAAAAACTGAAATGTAAAGTTAAAAAATTACAAGATGTTTAAATTTGATTATTTTTATTTTCATTAGTTTTATTTATAAGAGACTTCCAGATGTTAAACCAGCTCTGATCATTTTCTTTTCATTGTAGTGCATCCTTAGTAACTCATTTTATGCATTGTTTTACAATAGTTTGTCTTTTTATTGATACACACACACACACACACACACACACACCCCCCCCCCCCCATCTTCTTTCATTTCATGATCTTTTCGTATTTCAAACCCGTCTTCTTTTTAACAGATTTATCAGGTGAACAGATGTTTTGTTGTTATTATAGACATTTGATCTCACTCTGTGAAGCTCGGATCGATAAATAAATCCACCACAGTCTGCATCATCCATATTCATACGCACAACTTGTGTGTCTGTGTGTGTGTGTGTGTGTGTGCATGTGCACACAGGAGTCATCAGTCATTGTCTGACCCGTCTCTTCACTCATATATTTAGATTTAAATGTATGAAGTATTGATCCAGACTGAGACACGCAGCAGAACCACAGACCACCTGAAAATCCCATCACCTTCAAAATAATGGTTGTTCTTGATCATATACAGAGCTTACATCTCTTTTTATTCCTGCTTCTTTCTCTTCTTTTGGAAGTCTTCTTTTAATTTGGATTTATTATGGCTCTTGTTTTTATTTTTATATAATTTCTCCACAAACTTTCTTCTAGAACTGCATCAAATTGTAAATTCAAAGTAAGACATTAATCGTCTCTCTTTGCTGTTGGTACAAAAGGACAAATTCTTGTGTTTTTATTTGTGCCAGATATTATTTGCCACAAAATATTTTAAAAATTTAAAACTGTGCATTTTTCTCTTTAGACTTTGATTTTTCTCTCAAACTAAAGCTTCAGTAAAAGTCAACAGTTATCCGATGGATTGAGTTATTAGAACAAATATCAATTAATTGCATAAATAATTTAATACATAAATAAATAATAAAAATATTTTAACTGTGGATGTTTAGCAATTGTATTTGGATTCTACTTTTGTTTTGTTAGTTTGTTTATTCCATCATAATTCGTGACATCAGACGTTTACAGACGTGTGGAAACATAAAACTCTGCAGTTCAATTAAAACAAGTGATTTTAGGATTATTTCTAGTTTCTTGATCAGTTTTGTCCATAGTTGAGAACAATTATCAAATCTCTTCTCAAAATGGTTATCAAAGTGGAGAATATTTGTTTAATATGGAATAAAACCATTTACAAGTAAAATAATAATAAAATGTTATTTTCTGCACATTTTAAAAGTAGCTTCTATGAAAAATAAAAACTATGAATTTCATTCGTAAAAAGCTGCGAGCCTGGAGGAAAATTAACATTGGTGATGGGTTTTTTTTCTTAGGATTTCTATATTTTCTATGAATGTGTTTGATTTTTTTAAAGAAAATTATTTATAGGACCATTTTTAATTCAATGAACAAATTACATGAGATCACAAATCAGAAAGAATAAAAAAAACTCATTTAAGAGTGGCTGTTCTGATTTACTAACTTAAACGGCACCTGAATTTATTCAATGGGACGAACAGAAAACATCACGAGGTTCCATCAATTATCAGGAGAGAGTAATTTACTAACAACACAAATAAATTGCTTTTGGTACAAACATTACAAAGTGATGATGAGTCTGAACACAGCCTGAGTTCTGTTCAACTCTATTCAAGCAGTTCATCCTTCACGTGTGTGCAACTCGCGTCAACTCTCTTCAGGACCACGGACAGCGAACCGTTTGACTGAAAGCATCAACGTAACCAAACACCGCGGCACATTCACGATCCTCAGTTTCAGAAAACTATAGAAAATATATGAATATTGCATTTCTAAATCATAAAGGCATGTGAAGGACTGTGGTTTAGCTAATTATTTAAATGAAAGCACAACTTTTAAAATAATTATATTTGTGTTGAGTTTGTCGTGAATAGTAAAATTAAGGACCGGCATGCTGTAAGACCAAGCAGTGAGGGGGGCAGTTAGATAAAAAGGAAAACCAGCTTTTATTATTAAATATACAAAAGCTCTGCAGATGCAGGTGAGCTTCAAAAAGAACAAGTCAGCAAGAAGAAGAAAAAACAACAGCAAACAGTGAAATCTGACAATTACAAGTATTTTTCCACCAACAACTGAGCACAAGGAGGTTTTATTTCACTCAGTGAACAACAAAAACGTTAATCCGAGACACAGAAGAGACGAGACGGGAAACTCCCAAAACTACCTGAAAGTTCAAGAAAACCAGCCCTTCAAAATAAAACATGAAGTAAATCTGAAAAATTACTACAAAATAAGACTTAAACACTGATTAATATGACTAAATTATAAAGCATCCATGCATCCATCCATGCATCCATCCATCATCTTCCTCTTGTTCTGGACTCAGGTCTTGGAGGTAGCAGCTTGATCGTGGAGGTCCAGACATCTCTTTCACAGCCACCTCTTCCAGCTCTTCTGGCCAACAGAGAGACGTAGTCTCTCCAGTGTGTCCTGGGTCTTCCCAGGGGTCTCTTCCCAGTCGGACATGCCCGAAACACCTCCCTAGGGAGGCACCCAGGAAGCATCCTGACCAGATGCCCGAACCACCTCAACTGGTTCCGTTCAATGTGGAGGAGCAGCGGTTCTACTCTGAGTCTCTCCTGATAACTGAACTTCTCCCCCTGTCTCTAAGGGAGAGTCCAGCTACCCTGCAGAGGAAACTCATTTCAACCTCCTGGATCCACGATCTCATTCTTTCAGTCTCTACCAGAGTTCATGACCAGAGGAGAGGGGAGGAACGTGGACCAGTAAACAGAGAGTTTTGTCTTACAGCTCAGCTCTCTCTTCACTACAACGGACCGGCACAGAGTCTGCAATACTGCAGATACTGCACCAATCCGTCTGTCAATCTCACGCTCCATTCTTCCCTCACTTATGAACAAAACCCCGAGATACTTGAACTCCTCCACTTGAGGCAGAACCTCACCCTCGACCTGAAGAGAACAATCCACCTTTTCCGACTGAGGACCATGACCTCAGATTTAACAATAAATAATAAATAATAAAGCACTTCAAATTAAAGCCAAACATTACCTGACCAGAAGACACAACAAGACAATAGCATCAGTACCAGGAACACAAGGCCAAATTAAACCCAGAGACCACAGACCTGCAGCACCTCTGGACCTGCAGCTGGAACTGCTGGTCCAGGTTCAGCTCCATGCTCAGGTTTCATTTCCATCATTTTGAAAAATAATTCATGAACAAATAGACTTGTGTTTTCAGGTGGTCAGCAGTCACATGCTGGTGATAAATAAGGAATAAACTACAGTTTGAAGTCTTTCTAAACCACTGTGTGATTAACTGCAGCTAGTTTTTGTCTAAATGTTGTGTTCTGTAAGAAAAACTTTCAGCTAGCTAAAATAAAAAAGAAGCAAGCGGGTCCGTTCTCCTCCTGATCGATGGTGAAAACCCCAAAGCGTGTGGTAGCTCATGCACATTGTGAGTAAATGTGTCGGTGAACGTGAGTCTGACGGGACGACGAAGGATGATGAGGCTTCTTCTGGGGTCGGTTCGCTCTCAGCTCAGTCATCAAATGTTCTCGTTTCCAATTGGGTGGGAAAAAAAAGAAATGACAAAAATTAAGAAACTGCTCCGGAGTGATTTGAAAATAACAGTCATCCAATTACGGCGGTAATGTGGGGAGTGCTTCTCCCCGAGTGCTGCGCGGTGTCATTACCCTAACAGCTATTAAAGCAGGCGCGGTGCTCGGTAATGTGGCTGGAGCTGCAGAGGGACGCAGCCTCGCTCTGACCCGCCAGCTAATGGTCCAGAACCGCTCCACCTGCTCTGGAATATCAGTGGCTGAAGGAGCATCCAACCGTTGGAACAAACTAATAGAAGGACACCACGTGGTTTGACAGGGAGTTCACGGCAGGCGGTGTTGGGGGGCGGGGGGGAATGGAAACTTTGTACTTTTATCCTTGAAAAAAAAATGTTTGCGGTGGAAATGTGAGCGGAACCAAGTGGAGCTGTCACATTAAAACCATTTAGGACCCTGTTTAACACGTGATAACTGGCGTAAAACCACAGCCTTGTAATGGATGATGTCATACGGTGGAGAAATACTCATATTTCATCATGTTCTTTACTCTAACTGCTCTTAGTTGTATTTTTGTAGCGTTGTGTTAAACAGCTTTAATTTTACTACATAATGCACACTTTGAACTATTTAACTACTGAAACATTCATATTGTGGTTAACCCTTTCCATCCACTCATCGTGAAAATTATATTATTTTATTTTGAACTTTTTAAGAATTATCTGACCCTTTCATTTCCTTGGGTGAACTGATGATGCAACAAACAACTTCAGTGGTTTTATTCTGTGAATGTTCATGAAGCATTCACTCTCATGTGATCCATTTTTCTTCTGTACGTTTTTCAGCACGATTCTCGTCCCGCAGTTTTCAGCTGTTTCAACAAATCATGAATTAAAACGTTCGGCTCTTTCAGGACAATCCTGCTCTGACTTTTGGTGTTGGTGCCGCTTTAGCTTTTTGAAATATTTAGCCTTCTGCATCATTTTTTTTTCTCATAGAAAATGAATTGAGTTCATTTTACATCACATCTTTAGATGTGTTTACAAACTTTTACTGCTCCTTTCACATTTTGTTCTTTTTCAGCTTCTTTCAGCAGTCTTGTGCAAATTTAAACTGTTTTTCAGCTCATTTCAGCTGTTTCTTCAGCTGTTTTGTGCTCCTTTCAGATTCTTTCTCCTAACTGCAACATTTTTGTGCTTCTAACGTTTTTCTGCTAATTTCAGCTTATGTTCCTTTCAGCTTTTTCTACTATTTCATCTACTTTTTCGCTGTTTTATGCTAATTTTAGCCTTTTCAGCTAATTCCACATTTTTTGAACTAATTTAAACTTTTTTCAGCCTAATTCAGCAAAAATGTGCTCTGTTCACTCCCTTCTTATAATTTCAGCTTCTTTCTGCTTTTTTTTTTATCTACTTTCATCTGTTTTTTGTTCTTTGTTTTGTTTTTTGTTTGTTTGTTTGTTTGTTTTTGGGGGGGGGGGTGTAATTTCAGCCTTTTTTTAAAGAAAATTTCCACATTTTTTAGCTATTTTGATAAGTTTTAATGAGTTCTTGTAGCTCAATGAGACTACCTGTATAAACAAAGGGTAAATGAAAAATATAAATTAAATTTTGCTTCTTTCAGTCTAATTTGGAAAACGTTTTTTCTGCTTTCTTCTGCTAATTCAAGCTTGTTCTACCTTTTCAGCTACTTTTTAAAGATTTTTTAAGCTAATTTTGGCTGTTTTCAGATACATTCAAGTTTTTCATGCTACTTTCAGCATTATTAAAGGTCTATGCTGATTTCAGCTTGTTATTTTTCTTGCAGCTTTATTATGCTAGTTTCAGCCATTTCTGCTATTTCAGCTACTATTTAGCTGTTTTATGCGAATTTAAGCTTTTTCAACCATTTCCACTTTTTTTAAGCTAATTTCAGCTCTTTTCACTTCCTTCTGGTAGTTAAAGCTTCTTTCTGCCTTTTCAGCAGTTTTTCAGCCATCTTTTTTTTTTTTTTGCTAATTTCAGCCTTTTTAGCTACTTTCCTTTTTTGTGCCAATTTCTTCTTATTTCAACTTATTTCAGCAAATATGTGTTCTTTCTGTTTTCTTCTGCTAAGTTCAGCTTTTTCTTCCATTTCAGCTACTTTTCAGCATGCTTTTAAGCTAATTTCAGCTGTTTTTCAACCAAATCTTCTGCAGAAATCATTCACTCTGCGTTTTCGCAGGAATTGCAATTTCTCTCGTTTTCTTTCTTTTCACATGTAAAACTTTGAATGTGATGAGCGTTTTCTGTAACTCACCCATGAGCAGATGTATCCCTGACTCTCTTGTTATTCGTTTTCTTCTGTTCTTTCTGGATCAATCCTGCTGGCATTTAGCAAGTTTTTCTCTGAATTTCTTTTATGTGGATCAGTGCTCTGAAATTATTGCCAGTAAAATGAATATAATGGATCGGGTTTGAAGAGAACAGAACCAGCGGTCACTCTCACCTCAGTAAATGTGTCGTGTGCTTGATTGGTGCTGAACGACTGGAATTCTTTTTGCTGCAGAGCGTTATAATGACCTTGGAAGAAGAAAAAAAACAGCCTGTTTCACAGAAAGATGAACACGCTGGACTGAAAATATCATTTATTGGAGCTGAATATGATAATCTGCACACGGGAACACTTTCTCCTTTTTAGCCCCTTCTTTCTGTTGCAGAGTCATTTCAGTCCTCAGCCTTAACCTGCCGTTAACGTGTGCTCTTCTTTGTGTATTTGTGTGTGTGTGTGTGTGTGTGCATCCAGGACCCGATGCGTGTGGTCAGCCCCGTCATCGATATCATCAACATGGACAACTTCGCCTACGTGGCGGCCTCGGCTGATCTCCGTGGAGGTATGAAAAGCCTTTGTTCCACCTTCAGTCAGGAAAATCAAGCAGGCTTTGAGGTGCCTTCAGGGCAGCTTCTGATGGCACACAGACCCCCCCGAGGCTTTCAGAGTTATGAGGAGGCCCCTCGTGATGAGTTCATGAACCTGCTCTGCAGCTCACATGCCTTTGAAACTGTTTTATTTTTTAGATATGTTTCAAGTTTTCTGACACTCTTAATGCTCCCGTTTCCTCGTTCAGGATCCCAGAGGAACCCTGGACGGTTTGTTTCCTTGAACGTGATCTTTTATTGGAAACGTGCACCACCGCTTCTGCTCATGCATTTTTTATTCGGCCTATTTTCAACACAGCAGAGCAAAACTAGGAATCCAGACGCACAAACAGCACTTATGAAGACATTTTTTAAAAATCTGTTTGAAAATTAATGTATTTGCACAGAATCACAAAGTCACACGTGCACTGTGTGTTTAAATTGTTAAAGCTGCAGGATTAAATCTAGATACATACATTTATTGTCTATTTATAAATTGCCTTATTGATGAAAATTTTAAAATTTAAACAGAGTTGTTTTTATTCAACTTAAGAGATTTTTAACTGCCAGCAACATTGGTGAAGAATTCCAGTCAGGTTTGAAATGAGCCCTTTAAGAGTTTTTAATGATCTTTTAACCGCTGATGCAGGAAGCTCAGCTGGTTTAGAGCTTTTAGACCTTTCTGCTGCTTTTGATGCTGTGGACCACAACATCTTGTTGTCACGACTTGAGCAGGTGGTCGGTATCAAAGGCACAGCTTTATCCTGGTTTAGATCCCACCTGACTGACAGTTTTTCTATTCATTTAGATGTTCTTTGTTTGCAGCTCCTCTGTGTTGTGGGATCCCTCAAGGATCTATTTTAGGTCCACTGCTTTTTAGTCTTTATATGTTGCCTTTGGGGTCCATTTTTAGAAAACATAACATCCCTTTTCATTGCTTTGCTGATGATATTCAGTTGTATTTGCCTATTAAGTTAGACAGGGTCACTCCACTGGAACACTCTTGAACTGTCTAAATGACATTAAAGTCTGGTTAAAACTACATTTCCTGAATTTAAATTAAAATAAAACTGAAGTCATCAGCCTTGACTCTCTAGGCCCCTTGGCTTCATACAACCACTCCACTGTCAGGAGTCTGGGAGTTATTTTTGATTACACTTTTAAATCAGACAAACAGATAAATGCAGTTGTGAAATCCAGTTTCTTCCAAGACTCATTGTCATAATGAAGTCAAACCTCCCTTTCAGTGACTTTTAAAGGTGATTCCCACCTTTATTACCTCTTGTCTGAACTATCGTAATGCTCTGTTTTAGATAAATCATCTTTGCATCGTTTACAATCTGTTCAGAACCAGCAGCTCGTCTTTTAACATTAGAAAACATGAAGACATAACTGCTGCTCTCCACTGGCTTCCTGTTTACTTCCAGAATGATTTTAAGGTTTTATTTCTTGTTTTCAAAGTCTTAAAGAGTCTGGACCCATCATATTTATGTGATGTTCTCAACAGTTACACTCGAGCGCTCCAGTCTACAAACCAGTTTGTCTTAGATCAAAGTTCATGCTCAATAATCCAGGTAAAATAATCCAGCAAAGTTAAGTGAGGTCATCTGGACAGTTTCTATAAATGTTTTTTGTTTTGTTTTTGTTTTTTGGTTGAGACATTTTTTCCTTCATCCAAAGGACTTCATCAGCCTGAGGAGCCACAACAAACTCAGTCCCACAAGCAGCACACTCTCATAGCAAGCCAACCAGTTTGCAGATGATAAGATGGTTTCTGGGGCAAACAAACAAACCTTTTTGTTTTGTCCACCTCTCCTTCGGCTGCAGTTCCTGCTCTGCAGCTGTACTGCTGACACAGTTCCTGAGGAGAATTTGAATCGAGTTGTTTTGTGTCGTATTAGTTTTTGCTGTTCTTCTATATTTATTGCATCAGATCACTGACATTGTGTCAAGATGTCTGACCCCAATTCAGACACAAAAACTACTGTTACCCAAACTTTTCAGGTCATGTTTCTACACAAAATCTGCAGGTGAGGATTAAAGCTGCTGTGGTTTCTGTCGTGGTGTCGACTCGGCACGGTGAACAGGAGCCTCTGAGGGTAGCTGGATGCGCTGAGCTGTCCTGATGTCAGGGATGTTTTGTTGGGATCGAGACCAAACATGAATGTTTCTGTAACCATCGGAGCGTCACTGACTGATTATGTGAAATAGAAACCCTGAGGCGTGCTCGTTGCTTTTAGTGTGACAGGGTTCTGTAGTTACACATGAGCTGAAACTAAATGGGCTGAGAATAATCCAGAACAAACACACATCAGTGTTCTGTCAGCCCTCACTTCCTCTGTCGCCAATCTCCTCTAAACTTTTCTAATACATGTTTCCTGCCATTAGCCTGTCTTCTCCGACTCATCTTGGTAACGCTGATCAGTCAGTTCAGATATTAGCCACACACGCACACACACACACACACACACACACACACACTGTAGTGTGTGTGAGCAGCGCTCCTCTTCGACTTCCTGCTCTCCAGTCCCTCGTGGCCACATGAGACGACACGTCTGCACTGACTTTCTCTGGGAAGATTACAAAAACTTTGCTTTGTTTCTGGGTAAATTATGAGCTTTTAACATCCCTGGTTACAAACATAATCTCAGCTGGAATATATATTTATGTCTAAGTTCATCTCATGGATGCCACGCTGTGTATCTGAGTATTTTTGATGTAATTTGACTCTTTGATACTTTTTACTGTCATTATCTCACAACATGTGTTTGACCCAAAGGGCTACAACTTTGACATGAAAACATCAGACAATGTGTGTTTCTTCAAGAAATAGTTGGCTTTTATTTAATTTTAATTAAAGAATAATTCAGGTCAGAAAAAAGTAAATATATAATCTCACCTCCAAATCTGAGTCCACGGTCCTCGGTTGGAAAAGCGTGGACTGTTCTCTCCGTGTTGGGACTGAAGTTCTGTTTCAAGCGGACGAGTTGAAGAATCTCAGGGGTTTGAGGAAGAATGGAGCATGAGACACACAGATGGATCAGTGTGGCTTTCACAGTATTGTGGACTTTGTGCCGGTTCGTTGTGGTGAAGAGGGAGCTGAGCCTTAAGGAGTCTCTGTTTGCTGGTCTGTCTCACCTTTCTTCACCAACTCTGTGACTGAAAGAACGAGATCACGGATACAAGAGGTTGAAATGAGTTGTCTTTTTGTCTCTTTAGAGACATCTGAGAAGTTTAGATATCTGGGAGAGACTCGGAGTAGAGCCACGAGAGGAGCCAGTAGAGGTGGTTCAGGTATCTGGTAAGGAAGACTCCTGGACGCCTCTCTGGGGGGTTTATGGGCATGTCCAACTGAGAGGAGACCCCAGGGAAGACCCAGGCCACACTGGAGGGACTATTTCTCTGCTTCTCTGGAAACTCATTGGAGGCCTCCCAGAAGAGCTGGAAGAGGTGTCTGTGGAGGGAGGTGTCTGGACTTCCCTGCTCAAGCTGCTGACTCTAGAACCTCAAACTGGATGGACGGACGGATCTCTGCGTTCATAAAGAGATCAGTTGGCAGAAAATTTAAAAAGAAGGAGTCTTAAAACAAAACTAGCTAAAAGCCGGTGGTGGCTGGTGGAATTTCCACTGGGGGATGGTGGGGGTGGGTGGGGGCTTAAAGTCCAAAATAGACATAGTCCAAAAATATTTATGTTCAAGACATTCCACAAACGCATGCATCACAGACTCGTCGGTTCACTCACTCATGCTCACGTCTGCATGCTTTATTAACTCATTACTTACCTGTGTAAACACAGTAAATAAGGCACATTAATGATGACTGCCGTTAGAATTTTCCATGTCGCCTCCAGACCAGTCCACTCTCTGTTCTACACAGGACCCCGGCTGGCATAAACAAGCCCAGCACTGAATGCAGCGGGTCGCCCAACTATCTGCCTGATCAAAATTAATGCTGCTCCTCTTTTAAATCCGCTGCTGTCTGACAGCTGCATAGTATTCATACATAGCCTGGTTGTGAGTGTCACTGCACGATGTGTTCAGGCACAAAAAAGTAAATAAATAAATCTGTACCGGGATGGCGGGACTGGAAGCACGATCCGTACAGTGCACTGGTACTCAGGGCGCTGGAGTGGTGCGCCCAGAATCTTCCCATCTCTTGTAACAAAAAAGAGCTAACTGTGCATGTACAACTTTTAACGAAAGTCTATGGGCTAATATTCTTGCACCCCCAGAACTACATCACCAATCAGAGATAACATTTTTGAAATAAACAATTTAACTCATCATTAACTATAAAATATTTATATTACACAACAAAAAAATATACATATATTTTGAAATATTTGTATTTTATTATTTCATTTTGTAAGTCTTCAGTATAATATGGTGAATGGTGTGAGTGGTGGGGCGGCGCCCTAGCTCCCCCTATTGAGCAGTCCCCATTGCTAAAAGCTGTGATCACAGTTATTGGGGGGTTTTGTTGTCTTGCTGCAATGAAGTGAATATTGTACAAATTGTAATGTGATGTATAAATCAAATCACATAATTTTTTTTTTAGTATTCCCATCAGAAGAAGAGGCTCTCTGTGTTAGTCAAAGTGTTTTGATTCTCTCGTGTCTTCAGCTCATTGTCTCGGCTGCTTCTATCTTTATTCGGTGTTTATTCTGTTAATCAAACCTCACTTCACCACAGCGTTTTAACTCTGTCCTAAACAACGAGGAAAACTTTTATTGCTTTCTGTTTTTTGTCCCCAGGGTTTGACTGGAGCCTCCATTTTAAATGGGAGCAGCTGTCGCCTGAACAGCAAGCCCGCCGGACCGACCCGACCCAGCCAATCAAGTAAGGCACACATGAAAACTTAACTCTGAGACTTAGCGCGTTGTTTAAAAAGGGCAGCAGGAGATTATAAAGTTTAATCAGAACACAAACAGGTCTGAGGTCAGCTGTGGCTCCTGGCACCGAGCTGTTGGACAATTGACTCCTGAAGTTCTGACAGCTGTGAGACGGGTCAAACTTTTTGTCCAGCGCACACTGACACACAAACACCATTCATTTAAAACAGTTCTTTCATAATTCATCATTTATTATAACTTGATCTCCAGCTGGGTGTAGACGTCCGGGTCCAGAGGAGGTGTTAGGTGGAGAAAAACATGGAAGAATAAGATACAGATGATGGAAAATATGTAGGAGGAGAAAGTAAAACACGTCAGATGACTTTTAGCTGTTCACTGTGTTAAAGTCGACAAAAAGTCAAACTTTTAAGTAATTTAAAGTGTTTTTTTGTGGGAGTGGTGGTGCAGAGGTTCCAGAAGGTGAGCCTGTGATCAGAAGCTCGGTGGTCTGTGGTGTCAGGCGTCATTCATGGTGGTGACCCCTGAAGAAGGAGCAGCTGAAAGAAGAAGAAGAAAAACAACCTCATTTTGTAATTTTCCTGTCTGACAAGTTTTTACTGGAAGAGAAGAAAATGTGACATTAAATAAATAAATCTTTCACCTTATGTTGGAAAAGCTGAAGGAGTTTAACCTCAGTCTGTTATTTTCAGGCTTTCATTGGTTTTACACTAAACCTCCGTTTATCGTGGAATAAAAATTATTTTAAAAGTTGCCGTCTGAAATACAAATATTAAAAATGTGATTCTGATCGTGACGTTAGAGTCGGTGCACGTCGGTCACCGTGGTGGTTCTGTTCTGACGTGTTTGAGCGCACGGTGCTGCTTTTATTATAATAAAATGTCAAGAACAAACACGTAGAGCACAAACTACATTTGGTGAAACAAGTTTATTATAAATATCAGCTCTTATATTTAAATAGTTTATTTATGAGTCTGTGAACTTGTTTTAAATCTTAAAGACATTTATTAAACTGAAGCAGGCGAACTGTTTGGCTAAATGAAATGCAGAACTTTGATTTAGTTCTTTTTAATTTAAATGATTTGTCAGTTATTTGCGGACATGAATTTATGCACACAAAGTTTGTTTTGGTAAATAAAGTTTAGTTAGCAAAGCTAAGCCATGGCATTAAATTACATTTCTACACCACTTCAGTGTCTGAACTGTTTCATAAATGATAAACTCTTAAAGTGCTGACAGACTTTTGAATAAGCTGATTATAAATAAATAATGAATAACTTCTAGAACGCCCTTTATTTGGAACGTTTCATTTTCTGAACTTTAAACTTCATGCAGAAACGTGCGCACAGTCTGCAACAACGTGCAAACTCCTCCCACAAAGGCCCCCGGCTGGGATTAGACCCAGCAACCTTTTTGCTGAGAGGCAACAGCTCCACCACCTGAGCCACCCTTGATTTAATTTTTACTTTATTAATTAACATTTAAACTGTTGCGCTTGTGAATGAAGAACTATTAGTTAAAGTGAAGCTGGTTTATGTCCGGTTGATTTAATGAATTCTTTCTGTTTGATCCTGAATAAACTGTAATAATTAAATAAATCAGATGAGTAGAAAATGAATTAATGGATAATATGTTAATTTAATTTTAATTTACAACATGAATTACTGTTTGAGTTCACTACAGCTCATAAGGAACAGTGCAAACACTTTGAAATTAAGATTTCTCGTCTACAAGTTAAAGCGGTGCTTCTCTGGAGTTACATTTTAAAAGATATTGTTAAATAAAATGTGGATGTTCCAGAGAGGACACGGTTTTTGAATGAGTTGAGTTATAATAAAAGCCTCCACAGACGTAATTTTCCGTGGCGCTGTTGGTTAATTGGAGGGCTGAGGTGGACGGCTGCTCTCACATGACAAACGATGCACGGCCTCCACTCAGCAATCAGCGCCAGAACCCGCTCCGCCTCCTTCTGACCCGTTTCTGCTGCGGTGACCTCTGCAGAGCGGCGGGAAGCTTCGTCTGCTGCACAAGTCTGATCATCCACAGGGAGGGATTCAACGACTGAACACAAACAGATGATCATTAGCTGAAAAATATATTTTCCTCATCATCAAACCCTCTGTGCATGATCCTCTCTGATGCACGTGTGATTATACACGTTTTTAAATACGCTAACTGTAGCTAGCTGGAGTGTACCTTGTTGAAAAGATCTGTCACATTTACCTGTGAGGCTGAACTGAGTCAGACCAGCAGGAAAATCTACAAACTGTGACCACACACAATGTTAAACTGTACTTGTGAGGACGATTGTCTGTATAAAACGTCATTCCGTGACGTCAAACCTCGTCTATCACAGCTTTGATGGTTCATCCTGCTTTTATCTGTACGCTAAACAAAATGCTCACAGGCTTCAGCTGACAGTCAGGTGAACTTCAGCTGCTCTTCAGCTACAATCAGTTGGAAAATGTTGGAAAAAAAACTCCAGAATTCTTCGTCCTGTCGTCTTTTCATCATGATCTAGATTTGCTCCGCTCAAGGCGGCCGCATGTTGGAGCAGCTGTTGATTTAATTCTGGGACGTTGCTTTGGAAAACTTTAATTCCTCTTGTTTCTGGATGTAAATGGCTTTTTCTGGACGATTACTTCCTCTGCTATCGGATGCTGTGCAGCTGGAAGGATTTCTACTGAAACATTTTTACTATTGGACATTTGTTATGACGCGTAACCATGGCAACAAGGTGGCTTTTACAACCGGGAGCAGCAGATTAACATCTCAAAGCACAAATATTACCTCAACTACAGCCCCAAATCCCAAATGAGTTGTAAAGGAGGCGCCGTGGATGCATCTCCGTCTACCTGGCGGAGGTGCTCGAGTGACTGCTGAGATCCTGGAGCTGGCTGGAAACAATGGCTCATAACAAGAAGACCAGGATAAACCCCCGGCACCTGCAGCTGGCTGTCTGCAATGATGAGGAGCTCAACAAGCTGCTGGGAGGAGTGGCCATCGCTCAGGGAGGAGTTCTACTCAACATTCAGGTGGTCCTGCTGCCCATGAGGACCGAGAGGCCCGCTGGGTCCAGGTGGACGCATCGGCATCTGCAGCTAGTTTCTTCAGATCCGCTGTGGGACGGACTTCTACAGGAGATCCTTCCTGCCCACACCCATCAGCATCTAGAACTCTAATGAAACCAGGATGATGAGCTACAACAACATTTAATTTCTCTCTTGGATTAAAAAAGTTTTTTTGTTGTTTTTTTCCCTTGTCCTGTCCAACATTGTGACACAGAATTATTGTCTGAGTGTCAAAGTGATGCCCAACAGATTTACTTTCACAAGCAGAGCATCATGGCTGGCCTTAATGCTCTGCTTGATATATAAATTAAATTTTATTAGAATATGCTTTGGGTTTGTTTCAGACGTAATGGACACGGGGACGGAAAACAAAGAAGAAAAGTGAGAGAAGAGTTAAAATGTAAAGAAGGAGATAGGAATAGAGGAGAGAGAGAGGGATAAAGAGAACACAAATGAACATCATTGAAGTCTGACTCTAGACCTGCGGAAAGAAAAGACAAAACCAAGAAACCATAACAACAAACAACATATATAATGATACTTATAACATCATTAGAAAGTATTTTATACAGTACATGGTAATACAATTTATATTTGATGTCCACCACAACCCAACTGAGTGTGTATCTGATAAACACCTGAATCTAAACACCTGTGTGAGCATGATGTCACTATAAGGTTTCTCCATAAAAATGTTCAATAAAAAATTATTTTGATTTTTTTTCTCCTCACCGTGGCCGTAATGTGCTCTTATAACACGTCATCGTAACTGCTGAGCCGTGTCGTGTTTTCTGATCAGCCCTGAAGGGCTCGACGTAATTACAACACACACACACACACACTCTGACACACGGGGTGCATGTTGCAGCAGGGTGTTTGGTAACATGCGATGGCCTTCAGCCATTCACTCGCTCCAGCTTGTTATTCAGTCTGTGTTGGTGGGATTGTTTATTTGTGTGTTTGTTTGTGTAAACTGTAAACAAACAGACATTTTTCCATCCTGCTACTCACAGACGAGCAGCCGAACTGAAGCTTCTTTCTTCTGGAACAGAAGATCAAATGAGATTATTGGAGAAATGAAAGTACATCAGATGGACTAATGGTGTGGACTGGTGTTTGTTTGTTTGTTTGTTTTGATATCTTGTTTTAATTTAGTCAAACCAGAAACGTTAAAGAAACTCGGGTTTAATACATTTATTTATAACTTAATATGTGTTTAGGTCAGACAGATAAAAGAAAACCAGTTTTTGTCACGTGAACGTTCATCTTTTTCTTCTTTGTCTGTGTTTGTTGTTTACCTGGCAGGACCCCCATCATCGCAGGCGGGCTCTTTGTGATTGACAGGTCCTGGTTTAATCATCTGGGCAAGTACGACACCGCCATGGACATCTGGGGCGGAGAGAACTTTGGTGAGTTCTGTCAGGAGGATCCAACAAAACAAATAAATTCACCGTCTGAGCCCGAGTGAGCCGACACTTTATAAGATGATGACATCATCCTCCAGCTGTGATGCAATCTACTCCAACGCTGTGACTGATCTGATCCCATGATGCAACGTGTTCTACCACATCAACAGTGTTGCAGCAGTAGCTCCGACGTCTCTGTGAAATAAAGTTCTTGTCAGAAATCAGCACAGAGTGAAGTCAGACATGAGCAGCGACGGTGATGAGCTCATGCGAGCCTGAAGGAGGTCCATTTTTGTGTCAGGAGGAGGTGAGACTGAAGGAGGTCCTTGTTTGTGTCAGGAGGAGGTGAGGCTGAAGGAGATCCTTGTTTGTGTCAGGAGGAGGTGAGGTTGAAGGAGGTCCTTGTTTGTGTCAGGAGGAGGTGAGCCTGAAGGAGGTCCGTGTTTGTGTCAGGAGGAGGTGAGGCTGATGGAGGTCCATGTTTGTGTCAGGAGGAGGTGAGGCTGAAGGAGGTCCTTGTTTGTGTCAGGAGGAAGTTGAAGGAGGTCTGTGTTTGTGTCAGGAGGAGGTGAGGCTGAAGGTGGTCCGTGTTTGTGTCAGGAGGAGGTGAGGCTGAAGGAGGTCCTTGTTTGTGTCAGGAGGAGGTTGAAGGAGGTCTGTGTTTGTGTCAGGAGGAGGTGAGGCTGATGGAGGTCCATATTTGTG